GCCAAACTACTAAAAATCTTGGACCAACCAAGTTGGCACACAATCTTATTATCCTACCAGGAAAGGCTTTTATAATGGTGACAGACATACAAGTGAGGCTAAGGAACACAAGTGATACCTCTTATGGCATGATTTTGAAGCTGGTATCGTTCGTTGTGCCCACATCCAATTGACCTAAATAAGTCTCATCACTGAACCCCTGTGGTAAGCATACCCAAAGTGGACATACCTGTATGCACCTGATACTCACACAGTGGTATGATTGCACAGGTGAAGTTCTGTCCTTCCCTATAGTGTTATTACAAGGTGAAATCAATTCAATTGCTGTGAGTTTGCTTTTAGTGAGTAGTGTATGTGGGATCTGTGATTTGTTGTTGATCAATAGAATATAGAAAAACTGAGGAAACGTCTCATGTGTGTTTACATTATACTATATAAACCTTTCTCTTCGCTGACTTACCTAAGAGTAAATCTTTTTTATCTCCCATTATCTCTAAGGTATAAATATATAAGGTGAGGATGGCTATAGCTGAAGTCTAGGTAGACTGTCAATTCCTCGGTCCTATAACTGCAAGGAGGAAGAGGCAGTTGTGAAAACTGTAATCTCACACCAAATTCATTTAACCTTGGTGCTGAGCAAATAATCCAAGAATCTGAAGTATATGAGGAAGAATACAGCATCAGGATTGGAGGAAGCCTTATAGCAAACTGTGCAACACAGACACAACCTTGCTTACTGACCGTGAGGAAGATGTATAGCACTTGCTGATGAAGATCGAGATAACCTTCGGAATGCATTCTAAGTCAATATAATGGAGAAAAACATCCTTAGAACTTGGCCAATAGGTAAGTAACATCATAATAAATGGAGAAAATATTGAAGTTGTTAAGAACTTTATTTTGCTTGGATCTACAGTCAATCCTCATGGAAACAGCAGTTAAGAGATCAAATAGTACATCAAATTGGGCAAATCTCCAACACAAGATGTCTTTAAATTGTTGACAAACAAGGAGTTAACTTAAAGTGAAACTAACCCTAGCCAGGGTATTTTCAATTGCATTACATCCATGTAAGCACATGTTAAGCACATCATAAATAAGACCAAAGAAAATATATGCATCTGAAATATGGTGCTCAAAAATAATGTTGAAAGTACTATGAAGTGTCAGAAAAACAAGTAGATATGTCTGGGCAGAAGTACAACCAGAATACTCCTTAGAGGCAAAGATAGTGAGACTTTGGCTCATGTATTTTGGACATGTTATCAGGAGAGACAAGTCCCTGGAGAAGAACATCATGTTTGGTTACTAGAGGGGCAACAAAAAAAGAGCAATCCCCAGGACAAGACGGATTTACAGTCACTGCAAAAATGGGCTCAAACATAAGAATAATTGGGAGGATGGTACAGTACCAGACAGTGTTCAACTCTGAGTTGCTATGAGCCAGAATGGACTGGATGCCATCTAACAATACTAATAACAATATAATGGCAAGGAAATAAGTTATGTCAATCTTTCTACCCAAGGGAAGCACACAATTTAGAAGCTATCCAAAGCCTGGATATGAAGAGATTCTAAAAAGAACTCTATCTTTGTCTTGCTCCTGTAGACAAGTCCACCTGTTTCTTCTTTCCCCGAGGCCCGTTTTGATTCTAAGTTTAGGCTGATTGAGAGACCAGTCCCTTTGTCAGTCAGTCATATAATGCGTTGTCCAAATGTGCATTGTTTTTTGTTTGTTTTTTTAAGATTCTCCTATTTGACTTCAGTCTGGGAAATAGATGAGGGGAGACATTTCCCTTATCTACTCTGTGAACTAGGGATTGGAAGCACATGAAATTGGAATAGGGATTGGAAACACATGCTATTTGAAGAATATTACACTTTAGATGCTTCGATTCCCTGAGGAGCTGTTCACACTACACTATGCACTTTGGAGGTGGGCAATCATGTAAGGGAAACAGAAACAGGACAGAGAAACTATCTTTGTAATCCTGAATATATAGTTATTAATATAGCTGAAATTCAAAGGTAGGGTAAATCCATAGAAATTCTTGCTTTCTCTGTGTATGTACTTCAGAATAAATGACTCATGTTCTAAGCATTGAACTCAGTAGCAGCACAATGAGATTAATAATAGTATCTGTCTCTCAAGCATGTTAGGATATTTATGGGGATAAGCCCAGCAAATGAGCAAATGTTCAATCTACATTTACTCCATGAGAGTTGTCATCTCTACCTTTCTCTATGGAAAAATAGTAAATCATTTAGAAGCAAGAAGCAGTTGATCCTGAGTTGAGATCTCAGCTAGGTCTCTTAACAGATGTGTAACGCATGTACCATCTGAACTTTCTCCAGACTATGATTGTCTCACCTGTAAAACAGAAGTAATAGTGCTTGGGCAGGCACAGTGAATTATTTAATGGGACTCCTCCAGTCCAAGTCTCCAACTACCGTCAGATGACCTCCTCTGGTACGAAGATAATGATAGGATTCACCTGTGAATAACTGTTAACAGTATGTCCTGTAGTGCCATCCTGCCGTGTATGAAATGAGCCCTTGGAAAAGCAGAGGAGGGATCTCTTTACCAGCCAGGACCAGGAGTGGAGCACATTCTCTGGAAAAGGCATCACTACGCAGTGAATCTCCTGCATCCAGAAGACAGCGACATCAGAGGACCAGCAACAGAAACAGGGATTGGAGCGTGGGGGAGAGTGATGGACTTGCCCACCCATGAAGCAAATAAAGCTCAGTGCTTTTGTGCAGGAGACTGGCTTGCAGAGTGTCCCACTGGGCACTTGATTGGGAATACTGGACTTGCTGTCCTGGAGAAGTGGAGCTGAATGACTTTTCCTGAGGTGTACTGGCATCAGGTACCTCTAGGCAGTTCATTCAGGGAGTTGGGTTTGCTGACCCAAGGAGCTTGAGATCAATTCCTTTAGGTTAAGGCTTATAGCACAATGGTATGCCCCTTTGTCAATTTATTAGCAGACCTGAAACTTTGTAATAAGTCCTGATGAATAACATTTCTGACTGTCATTACACTTTTTTTAACTTCCTTCATAAGCCATTTAATGATGAATTTTGTCTGTGAGTTTCTGTGTAGTTATAGATAATAGAACCCGAAGAAATAAAATAGATATCACTAATTAAGAAACTCCACTTTTGATGTAGGGTTATTACGAGGCTTAAATGAGATAGTTTGTAATAGAGCTTGGACTTTGTCCATCAAAAATAAAATATTAAGCCTTTTGCTATTAAAGCAAATGTAAGTTATTGTTATGTAAATACCAACAAGTTACATTGAGCTTCTTTTTTTCTTTTTGTTTTAGTTTACATACTATCCAGCCACTCTGTCAATTATGAAAAGAGATAATGCTAAAATATCAATGCCAAAATTATTCTAAAATGCATTAGACTATAACTTAGGCACAATTAAGCTTCTGTAACACAAATAGGCTCTCTACCATTCCATATACACTCAGGAAAACAAATTCATGAAGATATACCCATGCAGTACCATAAGTACTAAATTAAAGTAGGAGCAAAGCGAAAGGAAATATAAGGGTAACAATACAAATGAGTCATGTTTGTTGTTTATTAGACTGATTCATTCTTACATTTGCTTATATTGGACGTACAGTGACTGAAGAAGAATTGATGCCCTTGAATTGTGGTGCTGGATGAAAATATTGAAAGCACCATGGGGTGTTAAAAGAAAGACCAGTCTGTCTGGGGAGACATATTACCAGAGTGCTTCTTAGAGGCAAGACGGGTGAGGATTCATATCATGCACTTTGGACATGTTTCAGGAGAAGGAGATCATGTCGGACAGAGCAGAGGGACAGTGAAAAAGAGGAAGGCCTTAAAGGAGATGGACTGACATCACGGCTGCAACAATGGACTCCGGCAGAGGCGCATTGTGTAAGGATGACACAGGGCCGTGGTCCATTCTGTTGTACCTAAAGTCTCTGTGTGTCCTCGGAACAGACTCGGTGGTACCTAACAACAGCATCAAGCAAGATCAAGTACTGAAAGGTCTTTCGTGAGCTGTGACTTGACTTATCAGGAATCCTTGTCTTCTTTTCTAGAAGAGAAAGACTACTTGGTCTGGGATGGGCATTCAAAAGTGTGAGGAGGTAACCCACACATGGGGAGAGTGTTGTTCTTGTCTCCACAGGAAAGCAAGAAAGGGACCCGACCTCAACAGGGGGTGCCAAGCCTCGGGGGCAACATACCAGCATGAAGCAGCAAACTAGCAGAAAGGTTTGTGGCGCAGGTCCCAGGCCCAGCTAAGTGGACCCCCCTCCCCAGAAGATTGCACTAAAGAGGACAGCCCTGAAGATAAAGCCCGTGGAGAGTGGCAGGTATCCTCAGACCATGCCAGAGCAAACTAAGAGGGCAAGAGAGAACCTCATCCTGGCCCACCTAGCTTCAAGGATACCATTCCTGCTCAGAGCAGCAAATGCAAAGAGAGGACCATGGGTCTGGCCCCACCACAAGACATGATTCCCTCTCACCGACCCACACTGCTCAGAAGGACAGCACTGGAGACACAGCGTGGGTATTCTGCCTGGTCTTACCCCCACACCAAAGCAAAACATGAAAAGAGCGAACAGAGCCACAAGGGGAGCAGAGCAATGAGGTCCCTAAGGAATCCCGGAAATAGACTTGAGAATCTGTGTAGCGTGTGACACTTCACCAGATATGATTGGAGTAGCGATATACCATAACAGTAGGGGGGAAGGTGGGGTGGGGGAAGAAGGGGGAGAAATGGGGAACTGATTATAACGATCGATGTATAACCCTGCCCCCAGCCCCCGGCGGGGGGGGGGGGGGGATAAACAATAGAAACCTGGGCAAAGGGAGACAGTAGACAGTGTAAGATATGAAAATAATAATAATTTATAATTTATCAGGGGTCCACGAGGGTGGGAGGGGAAAAAGAGGAGCTGATACCAAGGGCTCAAGCAGAAAGAAAATGTTTCAGCAACAATGATGGCGTATTTAGCTGCCAGGGGAGACACCATACTCCCGAAGGTGGTTTTCCCAGGGTGAGGCTCATCCATTGCACTCCGGATGTACTGACCTCTGTGATTTCCCCAAATGTGGGAAACTCAAACTGCACAAGTTGTGGTAGTGGGGGGGACTGCGTCTGTGCTTCCCCCTGCAACAAAAAAGAATAAGAAAAATAGAAAAGTAAAAATAATGATGGCAACATATGTACAAATGTGTTTAATACAATTGATTGTATGGATTGTTACAAGAACTGTAAGAGCCCTGATCAAATGATTTACTAATTTTTAAAAGTGTGAAGAGGAAATGAAGTGGAAGAACAGCTAGATGTGTGTCTCAGATCTCAGTACTCAAGACAAACATCTGCTTGTACGTTGGTCAGTCCAGGGTACTTTCGATATTTTCACCAGTACCATAATTCAAACACATGAGTTCTTCTTTGGTCTTCCTTATTCAATGTCCAACTTTCACATGCATATGGTGTGACTGCTTAAAGTTTTGAATGACTACTTCCTAAATGGGCCGCCAAAGGGCACAGAAGTCTGTCTTGGACGAAGTAGAGCCACAGTGCTCTTTAGAGGCAAGGATGGCAAGACCTCATCTGATATACTTTGGACATGTTGTTAGAAGAGACCAGTCCCTGGAGGAGGACCTCATGCTTGGTAACATAGAGGGGCAGTGGAAAAAGAGGAAGACCCTCTATAAGATAGATTGACACAGTGGCGCAAGCATAGGAACAATGGTGAGGATGAAGCAGAAATGGAAAATGTTGTGTGCAGGGTTGCTGTGGGTGGGGACTGACTCTTGGAAGCCAGCAACAATCAAGGCCATCCAAAGACCTAACTATGTTGTCAGCCTCCAACAAAATCATTTGCACACCTCACATTCACACCTACACAACTATACACTTATGTATATCTCCCAACTAGCAACAAACAACAAGATGAGGAGATTGAAAATACCCGGGTTTGGACCTTAGTGCTCAAAGTACCATGCTTATTTTCAGCACACTGAAGAGGCTTTGTGCAGCAGACTTGCTCAATGCAATGTGGTACTTGAGCTCTTGGCTGCTGCTACCAGCAGCAACGATAGTGGATCTCAGCAAGACACAATCCTTAGCCAAGTCATCCTTTTCCGCATTTACCATGATGCTAGCATTCGTACAGATGTCAGAATTTTGGTCTTCTTCACACCGGATTGTTATCCATAATGAAGGCTGCAATGTTTGATCAGCAGCAGCAAGTTCTTCACGATCTCTTTATTTTCAGCAAAGAAGATTGTACCATATGCATATTGAAGGTTGCTAATAAGCCTCCCTTCAATGCTGATGCCACATGCCTCTTCATATAATTTCACTTCTCTGATTATGTTCTCAGTATACAGATTGAATAAATATAGAGAGAGGATACACACTTGTGGTAGTTACATAATCTTCTGTCAACTTGAGGGTATTAAGAGTAAAGGGGTGGAGTTTAAACTGTCAATCAGGTTACAGCTTGATGAGCTCATTTGGAGGCACGATGGAGATAAATAGCTCACTGGAGGCAATACACAATCTCTCTCTGCCTTCCCTTTTCTGCTGTTGAGAGAGCTGGAAGAACCACATGGAGACCAGCACCATAATTGAGATGCTTCTACCACCACTTGAATCCGCAAGACTTTCTACTCACTGGCCCGTGACCTTTCTGCATTAGGCATCATTGTATGTGCTGTGTGAGTTGAAAGAGGAACTTATGGACTGGTATTGGACATATGGATACTATCAGAATTATTGGCTTGATTTGGACTAGGCTGGGATGTTTTCTCAATATACAATTGCTCTTTGATATAAAGGTCTCTCTTACACACATATGAGTGTTTCTGGATTTGTTTCTCTAGTGAACCTGGACTAACCCAACTCCTTTCTTGCACTCCTTTCTCAATGCACACCTTGGTTTTAAACAGTGCAAGATTCTCTTGTTCTGTTCACTGGAATGCCTCTTGATCCATGTACATACAGGTTCTGCATGAGCATAGTGAAGTGTTCTGTAATTCCCATTCTTCTCAAAGCTATTCATACTGTGTTCTGTTCTGCACAGTCAAATACTATTTCATAGTCAATAAAACAGATGCTCTTTCTTTTTGGTTTTCTAACTCTAGGTCTTTATGCATTTTATTATAATATTATACTTTGTCTTCTCAAGCTGCTCTCTGGGAATTTCTGTCCAGCTCTTTTACTTACCATTTCATCCACTTGCCTTAGCTACTCTACAATTAAGACCAAATTTCAGAATCTCTTGTCCTATGCACTTTGATCTGATTTTACTATCTTTTTAATGCCTTTTGTTTTACTTGTATCTGATGTTGTTCAAGGCATCCCACAGTTCATCAGATCTTGATTAGATGTTTGATTAATTTCATACTGAAAACATTGGTAAAATTGTCCAATTTCTATTTCACTAGCTTTAGTGGTTGGTGTATAAGTTTGAGTAATATTTGTATTGACTGGACTTACTTTTGTGAGGATAGATATGATCCTTTTATAGACAACATTATACTTCAATGTTCTTTTGATGATTAATTCAATTCCAAGCTTTTTGAGTTTACCATCTGACTGTCTGATTCAAACAGGCCAATACCAGGCCATGTCAGCACATCTTTATTTGTTCCATTTCATTTTTGAGAACTTCAATTTTTCCAAGATTCATACTTTGTACATTCCATGTTTCAGTTATAAATAGATTTTTACAGCTATGCCTTCTCAGTTTTACTTATGTTCCAACTGCAAAGGGAAGACCAGTAGGCTCCACCCATGTCATTAAGATTGCCTCTGATGGCAGCTCTTCATCAGCCATATTTCAGTCCCTTCTGAGTCCAGTGGCTTACCTACTGGCACAATCTCTGACAATAGTCTGTTTATATTCATGAAGTTTTCAATATCTTGCAATGTTTCTATTCCATCCCTAGGATTTTTAGAAGCTAATCCCTCTGAAGTGGGCAACCTATTCCTTCTTCATACTTCATACAGAGTTCTTTGTTTGAAACTCTGCTGAAACTTATTCATTTTGGGTGAGTTTTCTAGTACTTAAAATACCAGTGACATAGCCTTCAGCAACACACAAATAACTGCAATATGAAACAAACAGACCCTATGGTTCTGGAGATACCACTTTAGTACTGCTTAAAGAATACCTAATCCATTAATGTCCTAAGCTAATATTTAAGTCCATTTTAAATTGAGGAAATATATATCATCATTCTTGCTCTAAACATCAATAATGGAAGAGTGTGTTCAAGGATGATTTAAAGGAATATAAAATAGGTCTACATTTTACAAATACAATGGACTCTGCACCAAAATAAAATTCCCTCTCAAAATATACACTTTATTCGTTAAAAACAAGAAACGTAAGTGGTTCTATCTGGCAGTGTGTCACAGTAGTTCCTCCCATACATGAACACTGAACTTTCTTTCCAGTAAAGACTTAAATCTGGGCCACTTTATGACAATCATTTACATCGGTATAACATCCATTTTAACAGTTGGGATTGATATAGGTGATCCCAGTATACAAACTGTCAGGATACTGATATGAGCATGATTAGTGCTAGGGAGATAAGCCTAGAACACCTGAATCTATCAAAATAGGCTTGAGGAATTCAAAGGACATCTCCTGCAGTGAACCTTCCAAGTATCTGCTCAAGAAAGATGATGAGGCTAATCAGCTAGGTGGATTTGAGGCTATTAGCAGCTGATGTGAAAAGAGTTTTGCTGAAGACCCTACGAGTGAGAAGCTATCTGATTTTTATGAAAGAGTGAACATAATTCTGATTTACTAGCCAAACCAGCCTTAAATGAGAAAACTCAGAACTCTGGATTATTGGCAGACCTATCATAACCACAAGGGAATTTGCCTTAGTAAGAAGTCCGCACTGGTAATAATGGCTTTGCTATGTCAATGATCAACCAATATTGTAGCCTATCATCATTGATTTCATTTATGTAACAAGTAATATATTCACACAGAAAATTTTTTAAAAAACCCATTTGAAGAACCATAGTAGACTATTAGGAATTTTTTAAGATAAGTATGCAAAAGGTTAATACTTATCATCTGATTATGTCTATTTCAATGTTTACAAAATAAATATTGACAGAATTTTACACAAGTCACCAAGCTGAGAAGATTTGATTGGAGAAATGTTCAAATGCTAAACAATAAAATGAAATTTGAAAACCGAATAATTTACTTTGGGGCCTTATTGCTGTTGTTACCTGCACTCATGTCGATTCTGATCCACAGTTATCCTGTGCACACGAGACTGAAACATTATCTGGTCTTGTGATAGTCTCACAACTTTTGCAATGATTGAAGCTATTGTAGTCATTATAGTCATCCATCTTGTTGAGACTCTCTCTTTTCTTTTTGTCCCTTTACCATCATGAGGTCCAACAGCAGAGACTAATCTATCCTTATAATCTGTACACACTATGGAGATTCAATATCCTTGCGTTTAAGAAACATTCTGATTCTACATCTTCCAATATATATTTTCTCATTCTTCTGGAAACTCTTGGTATAATTAATACTCTTTGCCAACTCACTAATTCTTAAGTCTTCCTTATTCATTTTCCAGCTTCCACATGTATGTAAAGTGATTAAAAATAATGGTTCTCAGGTGAGGTACACCTATGTTTTCAAAGTGACATCTTTGTTCTTAATAATTTGAAGAGATCTCGCATAACAGTTAAGTTCCAAACAATAGTTTGTTAAATTTCCTGATTGCTGCTCCCATAGGCATTACTGTGAATCCCAGTAATATGAAATCCATGGCAAGTTCAGAATTTTCTCCATTTAATATGATTTTGCAAATGGTTGAATCAACGGTTCTCAACGTGTGGGTGGTGACCCCTTTGAGGGTCGAACAACCCTTTCACAGGGGTCACCTGACTCATAACAGTAGCAAAATTACAATTATGAAGTAGCGATGAAAATAATT